TTTTTATATTTTGAACTGTTTTTGGACACTTCTGCATGGGTTGATGTTTTGTGTTGGTGTTATTTTATTTTTATTTCATTTATTTTCTTTGTTTAAAGGAGAGTCATATATATTTTGATTCTTAAGGAGCCTCCACCTTCCATGTGTTCTGTCATTGGTTCAAACATGGACCGAGACAGCTGGGTCATACCCAGCTCCTCCCAGTAATTTACCAACCCGGTCCACCACATGCCGAACCCTGGCACCAGGGAGACGGCAAACTATTCGGTTGAGGCGATCCTGGCAACAATTTATTCTATCAGTCCTTCTGATTATAGAATCCCCTACTACCTCCAACTGGCTAGGCCTTCTTGCACTACCCTCCCAACCCCTCCAAGATGGTCTGGCTGTTAGGGATAGCAGTGACATCTAGGACTGCTATCCCCACATCTTCACCCAATTTTCCTACCTGATAATTCTGATTAGCCCCTCCACATCAATCCCATTAGAAAGCTGCTCAGGGAACAGAACACCCCTTTCAAGGTTGTTGGTTCTGCACAGTGTTGCAAATTGCTTCTCCAAATCTCTAACACAAAATTCCAGAAGGGCAACCCTCTCAGATCTGTCACAGCGGTATGAATCCTGGAGCTATTGCTCCAGTGTTGTATATATGTGGCACACTGCACTGCACAAAACCTTCAACCCTGCTAGCACACATTATCCCAGTTACAATATTATTATTACAAATAGGAAATATCAGATGTCACATACAGGTTAGTAGACTCCTGTTATAATCTCCTATTTTCAACTCAGATTTTTTTTTTTTTCAAAAGGTCCAGCAAGCAAAATACAGGCAAGCTCAGAGTGAGCTCTACAGCAAGTTATATAGTACCCGGAGCACCTGTTACCAATTAACCCCTCCCCTTAATTAGCAGACTGAAGGACGTCAAGGAAAGGAAGAAAATAAAATGCTATTTAAAAAGTGACAGAAAAAGTGATTTAAAAAAAAAGTAAAAGCTTCTAGCAAGACCCAAAGAAGAAAATAAAAAAAACTACAAGCACCAGCAATCACCAGAAGTCAAAAGTAAAACTGTTTTCACTCTCCATTAAAATTTTCCACTCTTTTTAGCTATCAGCCAGCAAAAAGTGCCAGACCATATTATGTTCACAATATAACCCATATTGTGTTCACAATAGAAAATAGAAACATATAAAATGCTTAAACTGAGAAAATGTACCATTTTAAGAAAAAAAATGGTAATTTTGATATTGATGGCAGCAACATGTCTCAAAAAAATTTGGACAGGGCAACAAAAAGCTGGAAAGTAAGTAGTACTAACAAGGGCGGGCTAGAAGAACATTTTGCAACTAATTAGGTTCACTGCCAACAGGTCAGTAGCAGGATTATAAATAGAGCATCTTAGAGAGTCAAAGTGTTTCAGAAGTAAAGATGGGCAGAGATTCACCAGTCTGTAAAACGTTGTGTCTAAAAATTGTTAAACAATTTCAGAATAATGTTCCTCATGTAAAATTTCTACAGAACATAATATCTGAGAATCTGAAGAAATCTCTGTTCACAAAGAACAAGACTGAAATGCAATATTGGATGTCCGTTGGGCCCTCAGACGGCACTGCATTAAAAACAGGCATGATGCTGTAATTGACATCACCACAAGGGCTTAGGAATACTTCCAAAAATCACACAGTCTGTGAGCACAGTTTGCATGACAAAGCGTTGCCATGCATTTTTGTAAGGTATAGCAAAGAAGAAACCATATCTGAGCATGATCCAGAAAAGCCACCATCTTCTCTGGGCCAAAGTTCATTTAAAATGGTTTGTTGCAAAGTGGAAAACTGTTTTGTGGTCAGGCAAATCAAAATTTGACACTCTTTTTGGCAATAATGGGTGGCAACTATGGGTGACCATTCCTCCAGACTAAAGCGGAGAGGGGCCTTCCGGCTTGTTATCAGTGCTCAGTTCATAAGCCTGCATCTGTGATGGTATGGGGGTGTATTAGTGTGTATGGAAAGGGCAACTTCTGAAAAGGCATCATCAATGCTGTATATCCAGGTGGAGCATTATACAGTATGTTCAGGCAAGAATGGGACAACATTACGCTCCCAAAACTCCAGCAACTGGTCTCCACAGAATTTTTTTTTTGCCCTGCGCCAACTTTAAGTTGTGTTGCTGCCATCAATTTCAAAATTACCTTATTTGTTTCTTAAAATGGTACAAGTTGTCAATTTAAACATTTGATATGTTTTCTTAATAAAATATGGGTTTATTAGATTTTAAAATCATTGTATTCTGTTTTATGTAGATTTTACATAGTGTCCCAACTTTATTGGAATTGGGGTTGTATAATTCTTCATGTTTTTTCTTGTATTGCAATTAGAGGATTGAAGCATGTGGCATCTGATTTTATGTACACGAATTTCATGACCCACAATGAATGTACATCTAAAAAGAATTATGCGAGTTTACTCCTAGCTTGAAAATTTTTTTACAGAAACTATTTTCCAAATACATTGTACAGTCATTTCCCAGCATTTTGGAACCTTCCAGAATTACCGAGATAAAAATTGTTTGTGATGATAAACAGATTAGAAGTACTCTCAAATCTCATACCAACTATTTTAAATACATTTTCAAAGTGCTCAGATACTGAAAAGCACAGGTTTATCTAGGTGTATACCTGTGGGATGAAATCTAAGGGTACTTGCACACGGTAGTGATGTATGAACATCAGATTACTGGCAGAATATTCAAGTATAAAAATACAAGGATGGACAGCATAGTAAATGCATGTATTCACACATAAAAATTCTTCTAGCCTTTGTTGGGCTGTGTTGTGTGTGCATATTTGCACGTAAAATACTGTCCAGCAATTCAAATTTTTGCTTTTTTTTTTCAAAACTGCTCCATATGAAGCACATATTTACCACTTGCCAGTGTGTACAAGCACATTTAAAACAATGGGCTATATTTAAATCAGCAAAAAGAAAAACACCTGTTTGCCTAAAAATGCTGCATTTTTAGGCAACCGTGTGCAATAAGCCTAAATGCAGCTTGTATGGGATAACCAGTGCTAACAAGCCATATTGGTAAAGAAAAGGTATGAACAATTAACAATATAAAAAATAGAAGTTCACATTTTAAAAGAAAATAATAAATGCACATCTTTTTGCAGGTAAAACATGTGAATTTATTTTTTTATAACTTGGAGCCTGGAAAGCATTGCACCCACAGTCAGAAGATTGCGGGTGCCATGCAGGACTCCTGCAGACTTGTCAGTGTATTTATGTGCTCGTACCTCAGCAGGGCTTCCATACAGTGCTTTTCTGTCAATGTATTTTATGTGCATTAGGTAAACACTATTGCAGGCCATATTGAATATTGGAATAATGGTATTTAACTGGAACCAGGGTTGAGCACCTGTTTTATCGTTTTTTACTACTGGAAAGGATTTAAAACCCCTGTCAGGTTTTTTTACTTGTTGCCTGTGCCCTCATTAAGGAGATTCACTCTCTCTATTTGTCCTGTGTACCGTTATGGCTGAAAGTGAAAATAAAAGAAAATCCCAAAATTGGGATGTCCCAAGAACAGTAATATTTCAGTGCAATGCCACAGTAATCTCTCACAAACCAAGTTAATGGATTGGTTACATCATGCTCCAGTGGAAGTGAACCAATATGATGAAAATTGCTTCAAGCTGTAAAACATACACCTAACACCAATGAAATGTTGCCAATCTGAAAATTGGTTCAGCCTCTAGACTGAAAATCATTTTAATAAGCTTACAGGTGGGTATTATTATGTTCAGAGGAGGGAACCGGCTAAGGTTTTATTTATGCTAACCCATGAACTGATGTTCTATTGTAGTTATTCACACAGTCATCTAATAATCATCCACATACCAATTTTCCTTTGCGGCACAATCTTTCCAAAAGTGTATGCAAAACCTAACCTTTTCCTTTGTTGTCTGTTAACTATACTGTTAAAAACATTTTGGTAAATATTTTCAATCAATGCAAAAAAAAAATCTTTTGATATATTCAGAAATTCAGAGCAGCCCTTACTGGGCAGTGGATGTGTGTGGACAGCATCAGTAGGGCAGTGGACGGTGTCAGCAGGGCAGTGGACAGTGTCAATAGGACAGTGGAAGGTGTCAGTTTTTTATTTGTATTTTATTTTTATTTTTTTTACAATTTAAATTATATTTTACAATATTATTTTTTAGAAGCCCCCTTGAGAAGCTTTGGTGAAACATCTAAACAAACCCATGATGTCTCATGCTTGAGACAGAGAATGGGACTGAGGACATATTCTACAGTCCCTTTCCCTGCAGCCTCAGCTGCACCAAATAGTGAATGAACGGGAAGTTCAATGTGCTTCCTGTTCATTCACAAATTGAAGCATAGTAAACACAGTTTACTATGCTTCAGTTATGAATGGACACAATGAGTGATCAGTACTGATCCTACTATGCTTCAGTTATGAATGAACACAGTGAGTAATTGGTACTGATCCACTCACTGTATTCATTCAGAAAAGGAAGGGATTGGTAAATTGACACATTTACTGGCCCCTTCCCCACTCTCCATCCTGACTCCTGCAGTCGGCAGGAGAAGTGAGGAGGGGACCTGACAGTGCTATGGGGGGAAAGCGGCACAAGGGGGGGCAGCATTTAGTGAGACTGATGGGCTGTAATTCTCCTATTGTCGGCGGGAGGGAAAGAATGAGAAGCAGGCATTGCCAGCATTCAGCTGCTGCAGTAGGGAAAATATAGCCCATCAGTTTCACTAAATGCTTCCCCCTCTACTCCACCTCTCAAGGCTCTGACCCTTGCTGTACCTCATACTTACAAATCAGAATTCAGCATCCTTTAGTATGCCGATTCTTTTAGGATTATAGTTGAATTTTGATTGTGATAGTGATGGGTTACACCAGTGCTTTTTGCAAAATTTCATTAAAAAAACCCATACATGTTTGTGATGTTTTAAGAGATTACCTTTTCTATTCATTCCCATCTGAAGGCACTTAAGGAGGCGACAGTACTGGCAACGGTTCCTCTGCTTTCGCGACATGACACAATTCTTATCGCGGCTGCATCGGTATACTCTCTTATTGCAGATGCTGCGCTTAAAGAATCCTTTGCAGCCCTCACAGGAGATGATGCCATAATGCAGTCCTGTGGCACGATCCCCACAGATAAGGCACGCCCTTTGGTCAACGCGGTCATCTATGGAGGAGAAAGAACAGCTGGGTATTAGTATGTAACTTACTGTCAAATTAAATCAGACATTTTTCCAAAAAAACTACAAAACAGACACTGGGAATCGTTAACAGATTACTCCCAACGTGCTAGTTGTTCAGCTTTATTTCATCCAAATTTGCAGGCAGGAAGCTATACAGAATTAGATCAATCCATCAAATTTTAGTGTGACCTTACAATGCCCAATAAAAGTTAGCAATACACTTAGTTGGAACATCGCATGCAATAGCTCGGCCAAGCAGATGCAATAACAACAAGAGATACCGAAATAAGAAAGTAATCATTGCCCAAGGAAATTTCCATCATATTGCAAATAAAATCTTTGCTTTGCTAGCTAATCTTTCTCTTTGATGGAAAAAAAATCACCAAAGCATTTACTGCACATATATAGTATACAGTGGATATAAAAAGTCTACACACCCCTGTTAAAATGTCAAGTTTCTGTGATGTAAAAAAATGAGACAAAGATAAATCATTTCAGAACACCTTTAAACCTGTAAACTGTACAACAAACTGAAATCTTTTAGGTGGAGGGAAGTAAAAATAAAAAAAACCTAAAATAATATGGTTGCATACGTGTGTACACCCTTAAACTTAAACTAATACTTTGTTGAAGGACCTTTTCATTTTATTACAGCACTCAATCTTTTTGGGCATGAGTCTATCAGCATGGCAATTCTTGACTTGGCAATATTTGCCCACTCTTCCTTGCAAAAACACTCCAAATCTGTCAGATTGCAAAGGCATCTCCTGTGCACAGCCCTCTTCAGATCACGCCACAGATTTTCAATCGGATTCAGCTCTGGGCTCTGGCTGGGCCATTCCAAAACGTTAATCTTCTTCTGGTGAAGCGATTCCTTTGGTGACTTGGATATATGCTTTGGGTTGTTGTTATGCTGAAAGATGAAGTTCTTCATGTTCAGCTTTCTAGCAGAAGCCTGCAGGTTTTGTGCCAATATTGACTGGTATTTGGAATTCTTCATCATTCCCTCTACCTTGACTAAGGACCCAGCTCCAGCTGAAGAAAAACAGCCCCAAAGCATGATGCTGCCACCACCATGCTTCACTGTGGGTATGGTTTTCTTTTGGTGATGTGCAGTGTTGTTTTTTGCGCCAAACATATCTTTTGGAATTATGGTCAGAAAGTTCAACCTTGGTTTTATCAGACAATAACACATTTTCCCAAATTATTTTGGGAGACTTTAGATGCGTTTTTGAAAATTTAGCCGGGCTTGGATGTTTTTCTTCGTAAAAAAAGGCTTCCGATTTGCCACTCTTCCCCATTGCGCAGACATACGGAGAATACGGAAGATTGCTGTCACGTACCACACAGCCAGTACTTGCCAGATATTCCTGCAGCTCCTTTAATGTTGCTGTAGGCCTCTTGGCAGCCTCCCAGACCAATTTTCTTCTTGTCTTTTTATCAATTTTGGAGGTATGTCCAGTTCTAGGTAATGTCACTGTTGTGCCATAATTTCTTCACTTGATGACTGTCTTCTCTGTGTTCCATGGTATATCTAATGCCTTGGAAATTCTTTTGTATGTACCATATAGGCAGTATAAAGTCAATCAGTTATGAGATCATCAGACAGATTAAATCAGCAAAGTAACATTAATGAAAGAAAAAGAGTAGTGGTGTAATCCACAGTTATTTATGTTAACTGTGGCAAAAACTTATAATGTTGGATATGTATAGTAAAGCTAATTCAGGTAATGGGAAAAAATCTCAATGGGCCTATGGTGAGATTGGCTTATAGTAAAACCTTAAGGTGCTAAGGGGGAGTTTAATCAGGTTTTAAGTTTAGATGAGGGTAATTCCCAAACAATTTACATTTTATCTGAACGTTTCAGTTCGTAGATCAGTTGATCTATATGGAAATTTGACAGGTGTTCATTTTCTGCACTTCCAACCAGGGGCAGACTGACCATTTGGAAACTTGGGCACTGCCCGAGGGCCCGGGGTCAGTAGGGGGCCCCATGAGATGCCCCTGGTACCTTTTTCATAGGCTTTTTTGAGTTTGGGCAAGGACACAGGGGCCCCATGATCCCCTATTGCAGGGGCCCCATGAGTTGTCAGTCCGCCCCTGCTTCCAACCAATTTCTATAGCTGGTGTCAGATTGACACACACAATATTATAAAAGGTCTCTGGGCTTGCTCTAGAGCAGCTTTTCTCAATCTTTTTTACTTGGAGGAAGCCTTGAAGTAAAGTTTAGGTCTCAGGAGACCCCTGCCAAAAATGTTTGTATCTACAGCTCACAGTACATTAGCGTGGTGGCCAGTGGGAAGACTCCTCCTTACATTGGTGGTTTTTGAGAAGAATGCTCCTTAAGCAGCCCGTAAAGTATTCAGCTTTTTTCTTTTCTTTTTTTCATTCAAGCAGGGTTTTGATTTACTAAGGGCAAATATACTCTGCACTGCAAGTGCAGTTGCTCCAGAGCTTAATCAATGAGGTCAGCTGCACAGACTATCTGCCTTTAGTAAATCAACTCCATTGTGTTCTGACAGAGGAAAGACTTCCCCGCTGTGACAATATACTAAATAATGCTGCAGGCTATAGCCTGCAGTGCTGATTGAGTGTCACTTACCTGACAGGCTGCCTGTACAGAAGCTTATTGATAAGATCAACTTCTGTGCAACCATTGTTCCCATACATGGATCAAAATTTGACTGGTCCCTGCTGAACTGGCCAAAATTTAAACCATGTATGGCCGGATTTACATTGGCGGTCTATGAGATGAATGCTGCCCTGACAGATAGCTAAAACAATCTCTTATGGCAGTGGTTATATATCTGAAAGGCAGAAATTGCTCATTATTCAAGGAAACCCTAATGATTTCTGGAGGAACCCTGGTTGAGAACGGATACTGTAGATCAATGGAGAAATACCATACCTGACCAGGGACAAAAGGAAGTGCCCAATGTGTACTGCTAACGCCCACTGAACATGTAATGATGCCTAAGGCAACAAGCATGTCCCATCTCACCTAAGTCCCACATAATGTGTTAGCATTGTGCTGAGCTCAACTGAAAGTGGGCCGATGATCAGTTGGCACTGGTGCTGGAGTCATTACTCTAATTTCTCCCTTGAGCAAGTGCCTAAGACCAATATAGTAAATGTAACAAGAGCAAGTGGTGCACACCAGTATACATAAGTTCTTAGGCTGGCTTTAGACTGTCAACCCAAGACAACCCAGCAGGGATGACCATCTCCTTATACCAGGACCCACCATGCAACTTGCTCTGTTGATTAAGTGAGCACACAGACTTCACTATTTTAGGAGTGGATGGGCTGCTCACAGATTTCCCAACAAGATGAGAGGCCAGTTGTCAAATTAAATGTTTCAGATGCTCTATTTTGTTCCCATTAACTGGCTTATACTCATAATTTAATATAGGGAACAGGATCAGGCCCATTGGTCGGTCAGCATTGAGTATCTCTAGGTTGGCCTAGAACAAGTGTATTTTTTTGACCATTTATCAAATGATATATTTTATCATTGATAATAACAAAAGAAAAAAAATGCATGATTAGTCCAAATTAATAGAATTACCAACCATTTCTGTCACTGATAGTTTAACTTTGAATGACATGCTGTTTTAACAAGTTTAAAATATCTCCTATCTCCCAGTTTATTCCCAACAAAAGAAGGATTTATCCAGATAAATCCTGCTGTGCAATACTGCACAGAGATACATTAGGTAGAGTTATTTTAACTGACTTGCAATATGAAGCATGATTTGAGATTAAACGCAGATCCAAGATAATGAGGATACATCTAGGTTAACGAAGTAGAATGCTCCAGTCATCATGCTGGCAGTTTCATTTCTCCATCTGACATCTCCATTCCTGAAAATGACGGCATGCCAAGTAGGATTGTGCTCAGAGAGTCGGCAGCCCAATTCTGTCGCAGTGGGAAAGTTACAATCAGACGATACCAAATCTTACATGACAGCTCCTCTAGCTTGCGGACATACAATTTACATTTTCTGTTCTCTCTGATGAACAATAACAGCCAGCTTCTGAGAATGTTAAGTCCTCTGTTGCTAAACAGAAAAGAGGCTTTTCTCTGGCAGAAAAAGAGTTAATAGGAATTGCATGGATTCATTAAAGACCCATTTACATTTTTGCGGTGCACTTTTTGAAATATGGAACACACCAATTTTGTGTTTATGAGTGTAAAACAGGTCTATTGTTATGTATGATAAATGCACAAAAATACATGTGACATGCAACTTTGTAGATTTTAACACATCTGCACCATGAAACACCCATGCTTCTCTCTCACTTTGCATAACGCGCAAAAAATAAGTGAATTGCAGAATATAAAATACACTAAACCGCACGCTGTTGCACATGCACAAAGGCCTCAACCTTATGTTAAAAGGGCATTGAATGTACATTTGAAATTCCAGCCGAACACCCATCTAATCCAACAGTCCATCTAGTTCAACCAATAAAAAAAATAAATTAAAAAAAAACAAAAAAACACACACACACACAAAGAAAAACCTCCATACACACAATTCCTTCCTGACCCCCCCCCCCCCCCCCCCCTAGGAAGCAATCAGAGTTTGGGAGGAATCTAGAGTACCCGGGAAAAAATCCTCACAGGGTAAAACATGTATCTCCAGGCAAATGGTGCCGTGGTTGGGATTCGAACCAACGACCCTAGTGCTACCAGGTGGAACTGCTAACCATTTTGCCACTGTGCTGCGGTTTTCCTAATTGGACATAATGGAGAAGTCATCTCCCTTCAGACTTGCAAGTAGATGGTTTTTGTATTGGGTCTTATGAATAAATCGCTGTACAGGTCACTCAGTGAAGAACTCTGAAGCTGCCCAAGCTGCTGGTGGAGTGGAGGTGGTGATTGGAGACAAGTAGAAGTGGGTATTGTTCGGAAGTGGAGGAACATAGAGGTGGGGGCACATCATATTCAATGTAGACCCTTTACTACTGTTCATTAATTCTTCACTGTGTAATTTTATGCATTAAAAGGATCTGTGTCAATGAGCTTTGGGTTTGTGTCTATGGCATCAGTTCAATGTCTGAGACACTTCTGAAATCATTCAGAATTCACCGATAGGTACATTTGACTTCTTCTAACCTGCATTTGACCCACATTAGGTGTATAGAAGGATGTGGGTACATGTGTGTAAAAAAGCTGATTTAAAGGAGATGTATACCCACAGCTCCTTTGGCTGTACTCCTGTGGATCACAGGAGTGCAGTTCGTTCTGCACTCTTGTGACATGTTTTCAGCTGACAGCTGGCTAAAGTCTGCGGACGTCACTCAGCCACTCCAGGCTGGGGAAAGATCGTGGCCATATGGTTAGGATCCACCCAGGAGCCTGGACCAGGACATGGCTCAGCCTCTCAGCAAACTGTCAGCCACTCCTACCTGCTTGCTCCACAGCCCAGCTCTCCAGTGAGTGCCTGGTGGGGGGGTCAGAGCAGAGAGCCAGAGACCGACAGTCACGGCTCTCTGCTCAGAGTGGCAGGTGGAACTGAGCAATCAGAAGTGCCTGATCTCACCCTTAGAGCCAAGCTGATGGTGGATCCACTTAGGTAAGTATGATTTAAAAAAGAAATATTCACATACTTTTATTTTACAGGACATTCAAATCCAATAAAACTTCCCAGTCCTTAACTGCCTCCCGCCCGCCATATAAGAAAATGACGGGAGCGTGGTGGTTCTCTTGTTCTGGGAGGACATCATATGACATCCTCCCACTCTAACCGCGTGTGCGCGCCCCCTGTGGGGGGGCGCAGCACGGCGATTGGTGATGTGCTGTGTCCCTGGGACACGGCGGATCACCGATCGGAAAGAGCCAATGACTTCGGCTCTGTCATGTGATCAGCTGTGTCCAATCACAGCTGATCGCATATAAAGGAAATGCCGGTTATCAGCATTTCTCTCCTCACCAGCTGTCACGCTGACAGCTCGAGAGGAGAGCCGGTAATCAGCATTCCTCAGAGGGGACATCTACACTGATCATCAGGGCACTGATGATCAGTGTAGCCCCATCAGTGCCCATCAATACCATCTGTCAGTGCCCATCAATGCACATCAATGCCACATATCAGTGCCTATCAGTGCACATCAATGCCACATCAGTGCCCATCTGAGCTGCCTTTCAGTGCCAACTATCAGTGCCGCCTATCAATGCTGCCAGTCAGTGCCACCTAACAGTTCTGGTCAGTGCCACCTAACAGTGCCAGTCAGTGCTGCCCATCAGTGCCATATATGAGTACTGCCTTTTAGTGGCCATCAGGGATGTCTGTAAAAGCCCACCAGTGATGCCTACCAGTGCCTCCTCATCAGCGCCGCCTACAGTGCCCATCACTGCAGCCTTATTAGTGCACATGGCCGAGAGGACTGAAACTTGAATCTGAAACCAATTATAAGCCAGACCACTTTTAAACTGTTTTGCAGGAATTTTAACCGAGGGAGTTGAAGCATTCCAATTTTTACCAGAAAGAGCCCCAAAAGAAAGGCTTTCCATACCCGATGGAAGGACGAAGCAGTCGACTTTTTTCCTAGCTTGCAACAAGGTGTCAACTATACCCTTTGACAGCTCCAGATGACTTAGAGACCACATCTCAAATTCCAAGCCTTTAATTTCCGACTCATGGGGTTCAGATGGAACACCTTGTTCTGAACTAGGAGATCCAAACAGACTGGAATTGGTTGTTCTAGCTAGCCTTATCCTCTATACAAGGGGAAACCAAGGCTGGCTCGGCCAAACGAGCAGGGATATGATTGCCCCCACTTTGCGTTGTATTTCAGGAGAACCCTTAGAATTAGAGGGATTGGAGGAAAGCTAGAATTAGGGGATTGGAGGAAAGATGTGTACTAGGTGAAAGCTCCACGACTTGGAAAGAACATCTTGGCCCAAGGTTTGTGGGTCCCGAATTAGGAGAAGTAGAGGGGAGCTGGAAGTTCCTTGCTGACACCATCAGATTCACGTCTGGTGTTGCCCAGGCTTTATCTGCAACAATTTTGAATCAAAGCCCCATTCGTCATGATCTACAAAACTCTAACTCTGGCCAGCCTTAATGTTCTCCGTTCCTGGGAGGTATGAAGAAAGGGTAAATTCCCTTCTACTCAAAGGAAGATTTGACAGGTTACTCTCAGGAGAGACAAGCTTCTGGTGCCCACTTGACAGGACAAATAAGCCACTGTAGTCCGATTTTTTTAAAGCACATTTTCCGCATACCTTTACTGGTCCGCTATAATAGTGCAACGAGCATCTGTTCAAAGCTGCGTAAAGAAGGGAGATAAGCGCTAGCAAAGTGAATCAGGAAGCTACTAACTCTAGGCAGATAGGAACTCTACATAGTCCACCTCTTCTAATGACCTTGAACCTGGTGACCAAAGCTGTGGTCTCCCCCAACCCACCAGCCTGGTTCTGCAGGCTCGAGAGGGACACTGCCCTTCAGATTGCGCAAAACCATCCACCAGGTTAATAAACGGGCTATCAGACCTGGTTTGAGGATATTCTGATTCAAAACATGATGATCCCACTGGTAAAGGGCACAGAACTGAAACTTCCTTTTTCAGCATCTGACCCAAGTAACAACTGGGATGGTGGGCAACAGAAGGCCCACGTACTGCATGCACTCGATAAGCAAGGCCTGATCATTACTTCCCTCGTCCGAGTCTGGATCTTTTGAACTTTCTTCTGGGGGAGAAAAGATATAGCAGCAACTGTTGTTGATTGAAGTTGACTCTTTTGATGGTTCATTACACTGTTCAACAAATTTTTATTTTTTGCCAGTTTTGGAAACAAAAGGATCCATTTCTTAATGAATTTCACATTCTGAGTTCAAATATAACAATGAAATTTGTCAATTGGCTCTAGTTTTTCTGTAAACGGAAAGTTTTCTACTATAGGAGTAATGACTACATAATGCACAATAATTATATAGATAGATGTCTTTCCACAAATATAAAGCAAGTGATATTGACTACATAAAGCCTAAATGGAATAATATATTGCATAGGATTACCAAGAAAAATTATAGCCATAAGCTAAGTTGAATCATTTTAATACTTAGGATTCTCACTAGTTTTGTCTTCAGTTTGTGTCGGTTTTGCTTCTCTTGGCTTTTCTTTGTATTCGAAGAAAGGGCTATCTCTTACAACTGCACGTTCAGACTACACACCTTCAGGTTCTTCCTCACTAGGAGACTCAACCACAAGTGGAAGCTTCAGGTTCTTCCTTTGACTCAACCACGAAGGATTCTGGTGCTTTAGGAATTGGTAGCCCCTCTCCATGAGGAACTGGACGTATTGCCGATGGAATATTTGGATAGTGCACAGATAACTTTTTCTTCTTTTTATTTAGCCCTTTTACAATTGGAGGCACCATACAAAAGTAACAATTACTAACATGATCTGTTGGCTCTCTCCAAATCATTGGCACAGCGAAAGGCATAGATGCCTTTTTTCCATTCAACCATTGCTCCAGTGCCGTCCCACAAGAATTGCAGCATACATGTGGTGCCCAGCTCTTGTCCTGGTCTCCTATCTTGCAGCCAAAATACAAGTTGTAGGCTTTCTTAATCATTCCTGTTATCCTCCTTTTTTGTGAGATAAAAGTTATTTCACCGCAGATATAGCAGAAATTATGGCATTAATAAGCCACTGTAGTCCGATTTTTTTTTTTAAAGCACTTTTCCGCATAATAGATACTGGTACGCTAGCAAATTATCAGGAAGCTTTATAACACAAGTTCGAGGCACTTACTGATAGTCCCCACCTATATAAGCATAAAACGAAATGTAAAGACGCTGTCGAACTACAATCAGCTACAGATACTGCAGCTTTTATGCAGTGAAGTGATGCAATTAAAGGCTAATATTGCATCATCTCAGTATACATGCAATTTTCTATTGGTCACCAGTATCAATTGCGCAATATGCAGCTGAAGTTGCATCATAATTTTGAATGGCTTACGTCATTAGATGGGTGAATATATCATGGAAACTAGAGCCAATCAACATTTTTTAGGGTCATTTTCGTTTTCAGCACCCCAAAATTATGTAAGATTAGCTAATTTTATGCCCAAAACTTTTTACCTGTTGAACAGTGTTATCCACCCAAAACATTTGAGCATGTTACAGGTTAGAGACACGTGATCTATCAGAAGACTCCTTAACAGGGCCAAGAGAAGGATGTCATCTCAGAACAGCTATGATGGCTGACAGCAGCCTTGTGAAGGTTCTGGGAGCAGTGCAAAGGCCGAATGGCAAGGAACGAACTGCAAAAGTGCCCCTTGTACGCAAAACTGAGAAAGCGATAATGAGCCAGAACTATGGGGGCATGCAGATAGGTGCCTGCCAAATCCACTGAGGAACACTGGTCTTGGCCTCATTCTTGTCTCGGTACAGGAAAAATAGCTTAAGCTTTTAATTCCTTTATGCATGAAAACAATTCAGTTTATCTGGACACATTGGTACCCGAATTCCCCCGAAGTAATACTGAGGGGCCTTTTTGCAAATTCTAGCAGATATCCACTTCGGATGATATCCAGAATTCAAGCATCCTCCACTTCTTCCACCCAGACCTCCCTGTATAGGCCAGATTTTGCTCCCACTTGAGAGGGCTGGGTGAAGACTCCTTCCTAAGGCCTTGTCGGAAGACCTAACTGGCTGGCTTAATTTGGACCTGACTCCTTTGGGAAATGCTTCACGTACATTCTTCCAATGTCTGAAAAAAGGCCCCCCAGGCCTGTATGCACTGGCTTCTTTGAAACGATTCTTAACTCTTCTGAAAGAGCGAAAGGACTGACGCTGCCATCTGTTCTCCTGCAGGTTAAGGCCTGGCTTCCCACTGGATGCCTGCTGACTGGCAGCTTTAAAGGTCTTGACAAAATGGAGCTTCCCATCAAACAGAATCAAGCCAAGGCTGTGGTTAGAGGCACTGTCAGCAGACCAATGCTTTGGCCATAAGGCTCTTCTGGTGTTACTGTGTGAGCCATTAACTTTGCTGTCACTCCAACTAGATCCACTGCCGCTTCAGCAATTAAGTCCACAGCTATCTTGAAGAATTGCACTTCTCCCGAACTACAGGACTCCATTTCTGCCACCCAAAGTTTTAGGGCCATAGGGGATGGTCCTGTCACACTGTACATCCTCTTCAGATCTATCAATATTGCAGTCCATTGTATCCATAAAAGACACCGAACTTTCAAGTGAAAGCATTATGTGTCTGGCCAGTCTCTGTAAAGAGGTGGCTACTTTGGGAACTACATTCCATAATTTGCCATCCCTTCGACATACATATTTATTTTTTGTTGTCTTTTGGGTGGAGAACTCTTTTTGCTGCGTCTCTAATGTACAATTTTACTTGCTGTGCGTGTGCAGCCTTGTTATGTGCCCCCTACCTAAGATAGGATAGGACACCAATTTGCCCACTAATTCGCCTGGCAACACCTCAGCTGAACAGCCCCAAACAAGCCACCACTTCAGGGTGGGTTGGAGAAAAAGCTCTGGAAGAGGTAGAGGAAGAGACCATTTCCTGTGCTGGCCAGAGGATTTACTCTTCTTGAAAGTGTTTCGGTGACTAGATTTTCCACATCCCATCTCCGTACAACTGCAATGGGCCACTGGTGATGGCATCCTAGAACGACCACTTGGTGGATGTTTAATCCACCCTGGACTGTTCTGGTGAAAAAACTTGTCCAGGACGACAGGATTGCTTAAGACCAAGCTCTTGGCGGACGCTTTATTCCGCGCTGGAGACTTCATTCTGCCAAAAATGTATGCAGATAGCACTCTTTTAAAAAGTAGCAAAAAATAAATAAAACAAAGAAAGAATAAAAAGAAAAAAATACCTCTCAATTTGATCTTCAGTGCTTGAAGCTGCAGCTTTTAGCAACAGCCTAAGGGGGGATATAACCTAACCCACATCTCAGAGTCATAATACACGTGCATGGATCTAAGGTAAACAGCCAAACAGCTGAAGCGACCTAGAGGGAGCAGAGCAACAGAAAGACCCAGGCTGGAGCAATAGAGTGATAAGGTAAACAGGTGGAGCTTATAGAGACACAG